ACTTTATTTTTATAGCAAGGATAAACGCACAGATAATAGGGAGCATATCCAACATCCATGGTATACTGGAGATGTGGTATAAATATACGGCCTGGGCGGCTATGATGACAAAGGTTGATGTTCGCCAGAATCGCACCCGGTAATTTGAAAATACAAGGAAATAGCACATTTACGCCTCGGATACTCGGCATTCGCGTCATCATCCTCATCCCATGATCAAAATTGTTTGTCGTGAGCCATTGCGCCAACAGCTTAACGCAGACGGGTCAGCACGCCTCCTATATGATGTTGATCTTTCTTGATTTGAAAGGCGCGGCATTCGGAAGAAAGATTGTAAAATGGGAAACCGCCGACTCTGCCTTTCCGGCCTGCCATTCACGTGCGTGTTCAGCGTTCGCACCAGGGTGACCTCTTTGAATTTGCTTTTTCACATGTGCAGTCCGTAAGCCATCTTCAGACGATGCTCATGCCTGCCGGTGAACTTACACCCTTCACGAAATTAAAGATTCCACTGGTTTCACAACCATTTAATATAATGGTAAACCTATTTGGATTGAACAGTGAAAGAGAAATACTGCCGCATCACCGTTTCAATTCATTTTCGGTTATCTCGCCATCCACGCCATATAATGAAATTTGATCATCAAAGGACATGCCTGGAATACCAGTCTGCCCTGCCTGGTGAGTACTGTTCCGGCCACAATAAGAAATTCACGGGTTCCCTTTGAGGTCTCTAAAATGAGCGAACGTTAAATCGAATCACCTTCCACAAGCCTTTAGAAACAGGATATCAACAAGTAGTACCAGGGATACCTTTGAGAACGGACTGCACCGGCTACTACCAGGAAACCAGGAAGATGGGGCCAGGAAATCCTTTCGTGCGATATACAAGAACAATGCCCGGAGGAAAATTTATCGGCCCTTAATGTACCGGATTTTAGCGCATGGAGCGGAGAAAGCGAGTTGGCTTAGCCGGAGCCATGTATTCAAAATGGTGTGACACCAGAAATGACCGTATTTGCACCAACAAAACAGAAGGAAAAAAGCTCCGGTGTTTCATAGCGCCACAAGCGAAGACTTAACCCATCGACCAATTGCAGACATGTAACAGAAGTTGATCTTTCCTCCCCGCTTTAGCTTTGTCCAGGTTAGTCATCTCTGGAAAAGAGGATAAACTTGGTAATTTGCTCTCTGAAAGCAACTTCTGAAGCAGCGCCGTTTCGCCGCGTTTTATTGTCGGCCTGCTCTGCCACGTTAAACACGTCCTAGACCAGAGGTGAAGTCGATTCCTTACTATGCTGAGTATATGTTTGTGAATTCATTTAAATTGCACCGCGTTCCTGAAACATGTTCGTACTCTGTTGCATGGGAAGCTGATCTTTACTAGAAACGTACGTATTCTCGAAGAATATCATTGAAACACAACATATAAAATGGCTCAATCGACCTCTTACATGTCATCACTTCAGGCTGATGTAAACGTCCCCTACATACATGCACATTAGTATACAATCCTTTAAGCCTTCCCAGAAATTTACATGTAAACCAGCTGTTGACGTAATTCATCGGCAAACCAAACCGTCCACCTTCCACATGCAAGCCTCCTTTACCGAATGCTTCATTGCTGATACCATCAAATGGGATCCGCCGTAGTTCGGGCTGTGGGAACTGACCTTCAGCAACCTGCTTTTGTAAGAGGCATCTAACGGGATCAACAAAATAAAATTACATGCTTCAGAATCCCAGATGCGTAGATCAGTGCTCATGATGTTGATCACTGGATCATCTTGTCCAGACTGATTTTTACGAAATGAAGGCTATGGATTTGCTGGCTGCGGCGTTAAAGAATAAAGCTTAAACAAACGTTCACCTGACCAAATATGACAATACGCGAAGTCAAGAACCGATGCTTTGCTTTCCATTAACGCCCAAACGTTTCACAAGGGCAGCATGCAAATCAATCGATCTGTGGGATGCGCAGGCTGGGTTGGGATGACCCATTATTCTGGCGAAACGGCTCCTGATACGCGCCGAATAAAAATGTCATCTGCCCGGTTACCAGTTTCGCTGAGTTCGACTAACTCTACAGGCGAATTTGTTAATATTTTTGTCAGCATCATGGCATATTTAAGTAGTGGGTAACTGGTTAAAGTGATTCGCCGCTCACGCCCGGACCGTGTATAGTATGGGACTAAGGGTATGAGGACACGAATTCCAGCATGTAATCTTCCATAAGATGAGGTAGCCTCCTTGAATTTATCAAAAACATAACAATGAAACCGAATTCAAATATAATGTTGAATAAATAAATAATATTGAATAAACAATACCAATCACCGTCACTTCCTCCCTCTCGAGTCGCAGACCAGTAACGCTTACTTTATAGATTTCCAGTAGGTAGGCCTTAGAAACGTCTGGCATTGCGGGAAACAGGGCGTACGTCTCGAGCCACCGGCAGCCGTCCAACAACCGAATACCTAAAGACCCAATTTGAATAATTGCATTTCATTTGGCAGGCGCGGACGTCGGAGAGAAATAAAATCAACGGAAACCATCGTTCCGATTATAGCCCATCTGCAACTCAAATACGAAAGCCAATCATTGGTTCATTCATTTCCTTAACTACCCACGCCCCATTCCCATTACTATGTTTTAGATAACAACCACCATCCCTCGTTCCGTGAGCTTTGGATGGAATTCAATTGTTGATTGCGCCACCAATGCCGGTCCCGAGGGCTCATGCCCAACGAAAACGACACCACAAAACGTCGCGCATAAAACGCACCAAAAATGCCAATACAACGCATTGCTTCATTTACACGCAAAACGAACGCAGCAACCGTGAAGGTTACAGCGTTTTATAACCGCCATCATAGCCTGCGCCAAAACATGAAAGGCCATTCACCAACAGACACCGACCCAGTTAAAGTCCATTATGCATAGCGAGACGAGTAACGCAAAGACCGGCCCTAAAACAAAGTCACTGTTATGGCTTATTGCCAAAGGATGGTGTAAACTATATAACCTGTGACTGTAAGTTCTGTTCAGCAGGAGTACTGGCGACGCCTGTTACGAATCCACGAGAGTGGAGGACCAAGGCTTATACGGCAAGGTTCGTTTATTTACACTGTGCAAACGCACTCGCCGACTCGAAATATTTGGAATGATACCATCCTGTGGCGTCGATCGCCATGGATTATATGGAATATGCTATACTTTCTGGATGGCATTACAATTAGCAGGTGGGAAATAAAGAAATTGTAAAGCCAAACATGTATATATAAAGGCTTGCTTAGATGTATCGCAGAAAGCAGCACCGTTGCCACTTAGATTTATGGGCCTATTTAAACATTAGCAGTATAGCTGTATATTAGGTTTGCTTATTCCGCTTCCAGTCAGTTTATGATTCATATGCGTTATCCCATACAAACGGACGACGCCATCAGCCACCGCAAAGACTTTGTTACGACCGAAGTTTCAAATACGCGGAGGTGGATTCTCCCCGATGTCAGTCCTCAATGGGTAGAAGCCTCGATTCAGGAGCGCAACAAATCTGTAGCGTAAAGATAAATACGGAAGTTGGGTGTCCTCATACCCTTAGTTTGCATACTACCTCAGTCGATTCTCATTGCAGTCGTACTGTGGTGTCCCCGCTGATATTGCCGGAATATTGCTAAAAAGCGGCGTAAAACTATATTCACTACCTATAAACATATTAACACCTGTTGACTAATAATAAAACAATAAATGATTTCTTTAATAGAAATATACGGATTTAATATAACTACAGGCGCCAATGGCCGTTTGAGCCACGCGAATAAACAATCAAACGGTGAATCATATTTCACCGCAGTTTCTTCTCAACGAAATGGGTAATAAAGGCGGTGGTTATACTCGAATGGTTAAAAGAGATAGCGAGAGCATCGCATCACTGGATTTATCGTAATGTAGACACTCATTAGAGGATACATCGATGATATCCGACATCCGTCAATACGGAAATATGCCATGGTGTCTGTGTGAGTTTGGTCTGTCAGCTATTTGAAGCTTTTTAAACTGAGGAATCGGTTTTTCCGTCATTCCTGTCTGAGCATTTCCCCTGTAAATTTGGTTAAGCGGAGTGGAACATAATGATGAGTAGAAATATACAGAAATCACTTTATTTCGATGAAAATAGTTTAATATATTATATTCAGTATATGACGCTGATTGCCACGGTATCGGTATAGGTATAATATTACCGTTACAATCACATGTATCATCATCAGCTGCTTCTATTGTAATTCATCCTCGGTGCTTTATCTAATCATCTATCGACTTGAGTTCATTGAGAATGTTAAAACGGTATAATAATTCGAATACCGAAGCCACCGGCAACGGAAATAATAATATCATCGACGCAGCAATCAGTTTGAACAATTATATCAATTGAGGTCGAGGATTACGGAAATATGCTCGATAACACGTTCACAGTGCCGAGCCTTGGCGAGGCACTGAACATTATTCTTTAACGAGGCATTACTTCCCGTACCGTACCCCGTTGGTTATTCGCATAATACCCATAATGTAATTTGTGAAGAAACTACAAAATAAACAACGCTGGGAGATAGTAATTTTAATGATTCGGTATTCACATGCGCATTAAACCCAAACTTCTCCATGCGGCACGATAACTACGCTATGGGAAATAGTACATCATAAAATCGCTTTTAAAATAAATGGCAACAAATTATTCGGAATAATTAAAGACGAGCACAATATGTGATAAAAATGATCTTTAAATAATATATCATTGAACTTTTACTGTAAGAGCCAAACATTTATCTGATCAAGTCAGTGCGACGGAACATCGTTCATTCACGACTGACGTAAAGTTTTCTAGTGACGGTGACGGTGCTGTTCAATATTCGGCAAAACCTGTCAATTTGGGGAAAGTCAACGGTTAAAAGTTGGGAATTTAAAAGACAACCATCCCAATGAAATTACGCCCGTAAAGCGCCGTCAAGAAACTCAACAAGTTTGAAGATTTCAACAACATTTTGTTCTGTGGAAGGCGTGCCGCTACCTTCGTCTTAGTAGAGTACAGTAGCAAGAAGGATAACTCTAGTCGGAATCCGAGTCTGGCGAAATTCACACCCTGTACGGCCCTGACGAACCTCTCAGATTAGATTAGAATGCATGGATATAAAAGTCAGTACCCAGCAACATTTAGCACTGATTCCGGTAAGAAAGGAGCTGTTTTCTGGTTCGAGCGGCATGATTTTACTTTACGGTTACACTTTCAGATAAATATTCCGGTCGGTATCTGCTGTTTTCCTCGGGACCCAGCTTCAACAATAGCTCTGGAATTCAAGGGCAAAATTTAGTCAATTTTCCCATTTAATGTCATTGAATTAGATAAGTGACCTTGATCGCTATTAGGCCCAACGGGTGGCCGTTTCATTTACGCGGAACAATGCAAACGATTAATATTTGGTGGTATGAAAAGATTACATATAATTAAAGATTATTGAGAAACGGAAGTTTGTTCAAATAATTTGAAGAAAAATATTCATATTTTAACCTTTAAAGTTTTCTTTTTTTAGATTCAGAATGGATTGGCATTAATGTCAATTTATCAATGAATCGGTGAAACTTCTGAATAAACGAGTGTGTGAGTGCTGTTCAACCCGTTAAAAAATGTACAAATATATGATCAACCAATCAACGCCGAGACTTACTAATTGCACACTGCGTAAAATATCAAAAAAGTATATAAGGATTCTCGCATTCGTATGGGTAATATTAGTATTTATCATCCAAAACTGGCTCCCATTGGCAGTACTTAGATATCGCTTGTGTGAGATCAAATGCTAAGGATGTAATAAAGCTGATGACGTCACAATATTTTGAGGACCTCACTCGGCTGAATGGCAGTTTTAGAATTCAGATAAATTATCTTTACTGAGAATCGATGAAGAATGATTTGGGATGATAGAATTCCTCACTTTCGTGTCTTCTGATATCAAATATTATACACTCCGCGAATTAAACACCCATAAAAAGTCCCAGCGTAGGCTGTTGAGGTTGATACTTGGCAGATGTGTGTGTCCAAGTGTATCATTTGGTAAACGCTGTATGCAGATATAATGACATACGTTATTATTCGGATATAACCACCACCAATGTGGAAGATAGCCAAATAAGAAATATTATGAATTTAGATTTTTAGACGCATTACATATATCCTTATATTTATCTCATCAAGGCGAAAGTGTTGATTTCCTCGCAAGTGATTCTGAACAACTTCAGTATGTCAGAAAATGTAAACGAAATACGAACGAATTGGGTCTCATAACAGGGTGTTATCGGGAATTGCATCAGCAGTTACACCCCGTTGGGTTGAATGCCGCGGATTCGAAACCACACCCCTCAGCGCTGCACCAATCGCCAGCATGTTCATTGTCAAACGCATTCAGCCAACGCGGCCTTCCGCGAGAATCGGTCCTCGGCCCGGGGATGTAGTAAATCAATCAAGACGAGATGTAGAGAATCTCATATACATGTATATAGTCCGTCTTATTGAATATGATATAATACGTCCTGATCTCGGTTTAAAACTGACGCACACATCTTGAGTCATAATCGTAGGCATACATACACCTACCAACCGTAGGTACACACATCTTGAACCAACTGCACATTGCCGTAACCTGCGAGCTCTTGATAATTTACACTGCAGAGCATTACAGCCGAGATGCTACTGTAATTTACTGAGATCAGGTTTCAAGTTCAAACTTAAAAACGTCAATTGTGTCAGAGCTTTTAATATGTGCCTGAACCCTTGCCTGGACCAGAATAAACAAGCCGTGAGGAGGCCATAAACGCATGTAGAGATCTGTCTGTGCGGTCTTGAATAACGCATGGCCCGCCTTTGGAATCCCCCACCAAATATGTGCAGTGGAATCAAACATAATTTAGGGCTCCCTTTGCCCGTATAGCCTTTTTCCTATTGTAATCGTTCGGATTATTATTATTAGAGCTTACTATTATTCCGCCGATTTTTAACTCCTCAAAACCAATGCTCTAGATCGCTGGCAAAAATCACGCAGATGCACCGAGGTGTAGATATTCTCCTTAAAAATCCCAGGTTCCTTGGCCAGATAGCAAGGGGAAATAATCCAAAATTCAATTCCAAAATTGCAACGTTTGACGCAGCAAATATCTCAAGAATCCAATTATTGTTCCAACACTTCCAAATTTCTTATGCAGATGCACAAACGAATTCCATTTTGCCCTGGACGGATTCAAGTCCTTCCAAACGTACCAGATTTGGCAGTTATTTTGTTTTCAGTTTTTGGCCATTGCTGTTTCTCCAGCACTTTTCTGAGTAGTTTGCTCCACAAAGAGTGCCAGTATGGGTAGATGATGTCCCAGATTTGATGGTGAATGACCCATTTTGCTTTGAACGTAGACCAAAGAAAAAACTGAGATACAGCCTTTTAAAGAAGGAACTACTTTTCCTCCGAACTAGTTAAAAAGGCGCGCATGACCGACGTGCTGCGGTATTGTTATTTTGGAAGATCCGATCGCCTGTCAAAACATGTGTTCTGGCTCTGTTTTGGACGACGATATCCTAGCCCTCATATATACAATAGATAGAAAGTATTAATAGCTATGAGACCTCTATCGCTTGCTCGTAACTATATTTGTATCTTTTGCTTCAGAACATTGTTCTACTCTTACGGCTGTCCCTACTCTTAATAACCATGATGTTTGCAGTTATTGTTGTATTAAATGTGTTAAACCGACTTGCTGCTCGGTTCTGTTCCCATAAGGCATTAGTGAGTCCGAGACCAGACTCACATTTAATGACAGCTTCAGTGCAGTGTTTGTTTGCATCACGGTGATATAGCAATTCATTTCATGGGGATCTTTAGGTAATTTTCACCGAAACGCTCAGTTTCTATTTTCACATAGAATATGGAAAGTCACCATACTGGTTTCTCTCACATTGAGATCGCAGCCATCTCAAAAATGGTCATGATTAATTTAGACTTTGAATCTTAACTATACCGCATTGGCTTGGGTAAGATTGTTTAGTGGAACTGTAAGCCAGATCGTCAACGTCACACTAAGATTGGGATCTTAGGGGTTTACGATTGAATAGGGCTAAGATCGGTTGTAGGAACGGCACCATGTCTTTCCAGCTGTAGCCTCTGAATTCGATGGACGTTTATTCGATTACGTCGGATTTGTTACAGTGTTTCCATACGAGGGACGTGATAACTCGTCTACTTATACTAAACATATTTTCACAGTTTTCTAGCTGCGTATCCTCGTTCTTCGAATGCAATTCATCTACTTTGTGACAGGATTTTCTTGATTATCTCCCTTGGTCAAAATGCCATTTCTATAGTGATCTCCCACTCAGATACCATGTCGTAGTTCAACAAAAAAATGACAACAGCATCAATCTTACAATGTTTAGTTCCGGTATCAAGATACCAATAACTTTGTTCTCCTTTGTAGCAATATATCATTTTTAGTTCACAGAGGCGGCTGTATGGAAGAAACTATACACGCAAAGCTACAACTGATGATACGTTCAAGCTATAGGACAGGATATTTTGCAACTACCCATGAGTTAACTCTGTTTAAACATTGTTTTCGTTAGCATCACAGTTTTGCAACGAATGAGAACAGCCACAACCGGGATTCATCTCTCGAATTTGAACCCATGATCATGGCTTCCTGACAAAACAATGAGACGGATAGTATTGCCTATGATCCACATGTCCACCCGCTAACCCACGTTAACACATAAACTGAAGGCACGACACTTTCAACTTCCTTGTGCGTTACAACGACTCAAGGTATTTATAACCAGACATCGCATCTCACCGACACAGCGCAAATCAAGTCTAAACCGTTATTTGAATGTCTGCTTGGTGTTTTAAATAACTGATTGAAACATAGAGTATGCATGTACCACAATTTGTAGTGTGATAAGACACAAAAATTGTAGCCTTGTTCCAAGGTTGTACTGAATGATAGGCCCATGTATGGTAATTCTATCCTTTCCAGAAAAGTCTAGATAAGGCGTTGAGGACGCCTCCGTCTGGTATTTATATTTTTTTGTAGAAAGTATCGCTTAACTTAACTCTTTCCATCACGACGAAAATTTTTCACTTCTGCACACATATCTTAAGGACGTGAGAACACGTCCAGTCATCTACAACCCTTTGCATACGACCAGGGTGCCGTTCCACTAACCGATCTTATCTAAGATCAATCTTAGCAAGTTAACGCCTAATTTTACATAATCGCCTTTAGCTAAAAAGTTACACCGTTCCACTAACCGATCTTAGGCCCGATCAGTAGCGGTCCGACTTCCTACGATCCGATCAAGCTTAGATCCGAGACTCTTTTCGTGCGAGAGGCACATTGTTTTAAGGAATGGAGAGTTACGAGGATATTACCCTACTTAAAATTACATTCAAAGTATTGCAGAATATTTCTGTTATCAAAGTTATATGTCAAAATGACAAAATGAAACCTTTAATTTGAAGTTGGTACACATCGCTCCATTCCTGAAAAGTAATGGAGCGAGCAGACAATGGAATGACGTCACAAATGTAATTTAATCTTGAATCACACGCGGCTTGCCTTTAGAATCCCCCACCAAATATGCGCAGTGAAATCAAACATATTTGTATCTTTTGCTTCAGAACATTGTTCACTTTCGGCTGTCGTTATTCTTAACCATGACGTTGCAATATTGTTGTACAAATGTGTCACACCGACTCGCTTCGGTTGTGTTCCCATGACGACAGTGGTCAGACTGGCCTGACATTTGTAAGGCTTCGTTGCTGCAGCGTGTTTACATCACAGAAATATACAAATTCATTTCATGGGGATTTTAGGGGACGCTCACGGTGAAATGCTCGCTCTTATTTTTCACATAGAATAGGAAAGCAACCATTTTGGTTTCTCTACGATTGATTTTAGCTATCCTAAGTTGGTCATGAGCCACTTAGACTTTGAATCTTAACTTTACGATTGACTTAGGTAAGATTGGTTAGTGGAACGGTATGCCGATCGTAACGTCACGCTAAGATTGGGATTTTAGGGGTTTACGATTGGCATAGGTCTAAGATCGGTTAGTGGAACGGCACCCAGATGTTTCCAGTTGTAGCCTCTCAATTCGATGGACGTTTATTCGATTACGTCGGATTTTTACAGTGTTTCCATACGAGGGACGTGATAACTCATCTACTCATACAAAACATATTTCACAGTTTTCAGCCGCCAGATCCTCGTTCTTCGAATGCAATTCATGTACCTTGTAACAGTGTAATTTTTAGGATTTTCTTGATTATCTCCCTTGGTCAAAACTACGTGCTATATGACCTTGACATTCGGTCACCATACAGCGTTAAATGGCTGGTCGTGGAAAATCGTATCAGACTGCAAGCCAAGCTCTATCTGCCATTTGTGATGGTGAGAGGAGCTGGTACAACGTTTGACGTTTCATTGTTAGCAATTCTCTTTGACTTGTGGCTGTTTTTATAGTTGTTACCACAGGTAACGCTCGTTTCATCGTTCTTTGGATGTCATGACCCTATAATCCTAAGTGATGACATAACTCTACTAAATTGTGGTTGTTCTTCCACCGTAGTGTAGTCACTGGATTGAAAGAAATTGTCACAATTACCACACTGATGTGTAAGTTCAATAATGTTTCTCCTTTTAGAAAAAACCTGCATTTCATATATTTTGTGTTAAAGACGACCTACTCTTGTCTCTATTAGTCTGAAATAGTTTAATGAAAGTGAATAAAGATGTTTAGAAAACAATTCAGTTCATATGGATTTGGATGTTATGTTAGTCATGAATGGTCCATGTCAACCGTTGCAACCATGGAGACGTGATTTCACGTCCCTCGTATGTAAGTGTCATGTTGCTCAAAAGCAGTCTCGTATTGAAGGGTTGTGAGCCCTCAGACGTGCTATCCCGTCCTTCAAATGGAAAGAGTTAAACTATTATTTCCTAAGAGACTTTGTCAGTCTACTAAAATTGCATAATGGGACTCCTAAACTTTCTCAAGTGCGATCTGGGGCCGAGCTAGCATACCTAAACACAGCCAACGATCTATATCGCTGGTTATTGTGAGCTATTGTATTCCTTTCGTGAAGGTTAGCAGACCGAAGCAAATGCAGGTGGCTTCTTTGTAACACGTTGTGTCATGTTACCGCTACCGACGTGAACTTACGGCCTGCATGGAGCATGGGGCTTGACGAGGCGTGTCCGGGGAGACAAACATGGCGGATAACAGCAGGGCCACAGACACAGGGGTTTCAATATGCTGGGAAAAACCTGTATAAGAGATGACTGGCATCTTGCAATGTTCGTTCTCATGTAATCACATTTAGTTAAGCACAAGTTTGTAAAGAACCTGTTTCACTGATAAGCGATATGGATGCGCCATTTTGTGTGTATGTGGGTGGGGGTGGGTGCTGGGGGATGGGGGTATTGGCTTGAACCGTTGTAGTCTTTTGTCATACAGTCTTATGGAGATATGTTTGTACTAATGAATTTTCGTTTGTAAACTTGAATTACGTGGAGCAGTTTCACTGTTTTTAAACGATATCAGATCATCGATATAGCCAAAGCCTATGTTAACCCTCTTGGCCAGAATCCCTTGTTTTGATTTTGTCAGGCCACGTAGACGAAATTCCGAATCATATGCATGAAACTGGAAGGGAGCATAGCTTGTGTCCATGGGAATTCTGACTTCCTGCCTAAATGTGTTATCCCCAAATTTTGAATAGATGGTATCAATGAGGAAGTCCAGCATTTCACATATTATCTATTTTAACATAACATGCTTTTATTTTTAAATTCATCTGTGGTCAGCGCGATTGGTAACAAAAGCCTAAAAAATCAAGAAATGATTTTTCCCTTTATTTGTTTGTTGTTGGGGATAGTTGATTGATCAGATGTTAAACATCCTGAAATTACGAACATTCAAGCCTTTGCGTCAAAACCCGACGCATGGTGTAGACAGTTTCTTTTCTGAATTAAAAAACATGCCTTATATGTGGCACTCTTTTGTATTTATCAGACAAATAATATTGGGATGCTTCTAATAATGGCTAGGTTGCTTGACGTCTTTTCTGAGGTGGGAACTATTTAAGTATGGCAGCAAGACCTTCGATGATCACTTGGAGAGACGGAATTCCAATTCTGTTTCCTCTTTTTCAGTTTGTGTGTTTTCAAATGACAACATAAAGCATTGACTTAACCCAGTCCAAAACATAGTCACCAAGTTCATCGTCTCTCACAAATGGGCTACTTTGCTGTCTTGATGTTCACGGTGATTAATGCCACGATCGCGATTTTTGCCCTTACATGGCGATGTGTGTGTGTGTGTGTGTGCGTGTGTGCGTGTTTGCATGTTTGGTTATGTGTATGTGTGTGTCTTCATGCAATGCTATTTCTATAGTAATCTCCCACTCAGATACCATGTCGTAGTTCAACATACCCCACTCAGGCACAATTTATTGGCTCCTAGCCGACCAGTCCCTTTTCCATAACAAAATGACAACAGCATCAATCTTACAATGTTTTAGTTCCGGGATCAAGACACCAATCCTTTGCTCTCCTTGTAACAATATATCATTTAGTTCATTTAGTTGGCTTCCTGACAAGACAATGAGACGGATAGTATTGCCTATGATCCACATGTCCACCCGCTAACCCACGTTACAGTCAGTTTATAGACTTCGGTTAATGTACATGTACTAGGTCAAGCAGTGTTTTGCCATTCTGAAGATCTTGCATTAATGGTTAATAAATCTGTTTATTTCACAACGTCAACGCCAGAGAATATTCATGACATAATAAATGTTAAAGTCAAAATAATGACACTATACATGTTCATGTATCAGGATGTGGTGTAACTACGTACACTGTCATATCACGTAAACACAGATATGCCACCCTACATGTTAAATTTCGGACTGTACTTTGGGCGCTGATACAAAGGTTTTTCAGTTTGTTTGGTCCAGAATTTCAGTGTATTAGGAAACAGCCACACAGAACTTTCATCTGAGAAATTACATTGTCACAGTTATACTTTTATGCTGTAAGCACCAGTTCAACCTTCGCTGCCTGTTTGTTCAGGTTTCATGATCGGTGATGGAATTCCTCGACTTTTCTGCCAACCCATTGCATGCAGCTCAATTCTAAGTGCATCCCAAACGTGCTCTATTGGATTAAGGTCAGGGGACCTCGATGGCCAGTCCATGACGTTGATTCCAGCGTTTTGAAGGAAATTTCGTGTCAACATCGAGGTATGCGGCCGAACATTATCATGCTGGAACTGTAGACCTGGGCCATGAGCCGCCATGAAAGGAACGAGTTCAGGGGTGAGCACCTGGTCGCGGTAAGCAGCAGCTGTGAGGTTTCCACGGATGACCAGAAGTCGGGAACGGTTGTTCCCACAGAAAGCACCCCACACCATGCAACTTCCGCCCCCGAATATGTCGACTTCCTGTACACAACATTGGGCATACCGTTCAAGACGTCGTCTCCAGACTCTATGCCTGCCGTCCGCGAATCTGAGGATAAACCTGGATTCAGCGCTAAAGACGACTCGATTCCGGTCTCTCTGGGTCCATCGGAGGTGACGTTGGGCCCACAGCAGACGTTGACGTTGATGAAACGGCGTCAATATTGGCCCACGATATTGACGTCGAGAATGGAGATTGGCAGCCCGCAACCGATTTCGAATGGTCTGTGAGGACAGTCGACCTCTAAACATCTCAGCCCTGGTTCGTGTAGCCGGCAGAAATCTACCACGTAGGTGACGTAGGACGATTTGACGGTCTTCTGCTCGTGACGTCACACGTTGACGACCCGACCTTCGGCGATCAGTAGTGGTGCCAGTTTATTGTATACGACCTCGCAAGTCATACACAGTACGACGGCTGCATCCCATTGCTCTTGCGGCGTCAATAACTGATCTTCCCGCTTGCAACATGCCAACGGCACGTTCACGTTGCACATTTGACAATCGTGGCATTTCAAGTACCGTTAGAACTGTGGTTTAAAAGTGTTTTTTTCAATTCTTGAGGCCAATGCAAACACGTGCACATGACGAATGGATGGGTTTGATTGGGTTTTGCTAACGTTTTTCTAGAGTCGAAAGATAGGGATCCCATTTCGGATACATAGATGTATCATCAGAGAAAAATTATTCATTATTTTTCAAATTACATTTTGTGAAGTTTCTTTTTTGACTCAGTATATATATGCCTGCCCGTTCTCTCTGCTCCCAGAATCAAGATCTTCTCTCAGTTCCCCAAACACTTTGGCCATAGGTCATTCAAATTTGCAGCACCAACCCTGTGGAACAGTCTTAAAAGCATTCAAATCGGGACACAAAACCTTCCTCTTCTAACAAGACTACAACCTACAACAGTATTCTCATGGTCATTTTGACGAACTGTCATATCTTCCTCATCAACTCTAGTGACTCTTTTTGTATGTAGCACCTTTCAGCATGCTCTGGATGGACTATGGCGCACAAGAAATATCCATTTATTATTATTATTCCTGGGGAGGTAACGTCAATATGCTTCACTTGTGAAGAGTACGCCGTCAGGGTACGCCGTGATTCTTCACTTGTGTTACGATCATTACAAAAGGTTTCTTAGTCTATATTAGGAGTGCACTTGTCTCTGTCGTTTAAGCCATCGATATTCGCTGTTTACTATTCATGTACAAGTGCCTGA